TTCTTTTTCTGCCTCTTTGCCCGTGCACGCCGATGTCCATGGCTGCGGGCGCGGCGCCGCACTGAGTCCCCGCGGCGCACGCTGGTCGCCCCGAAGGGGTCCCGGCGACGCGCGCGGGTCGTCCGCTGCGCGGAGCAGAGAGAGTGCTAGCTGGCTGGGTGATAGCGGGCAAGACTGTGGCCGCTGGGCAGAGCGACGACGGGGGCGAGCGAGGCTCTGGGCAGAGCGCAGCGCGGAATTCCCGCGACGCGCGCTGGTCGCCCCGAGAGGGTCCCAGCGACGCGCGCGGATCGCCCGCGGCGCGAGGCCAAACAGTCAGACCGTCGAGAGACGGCGAGTCTCGGGCGGGCCGCTCCTCAGGTCAAGCCTCGCGGATAAACTCGGTGAAGCTCCCTATGGGGCCACAAAACGTGTGAGGGTGTGCCAAAATGGGGCGGCGGCGCCATGCGAGTTCCGCCACTGGGACCTTAGGTGGAGCTCCCTATGGGGCCACGAAACGTGTGAGGGGTGTGCCAAAATGGGGCGGCGGCGCCATGCGAGTTCCGCCACTGGGACCCTAGGTGGAGCTCCCTATGGGGCCACCGAGCGTGCGAGTTGAGGGGTGTACGGGTGTGCCAAAGCGCCATGCGAGTTCCGCCACTGGGACCTTAGGTGGAGTGTGAATGGGGCGGCGGCGCCATGGGCACTGGGACCTTAGGTGGAGCTCCCTATGGGGCCACGAAACGTGTGAGGGGTGTGCCAAACTGGGGCGGCGGCGCCATGCGAGTTCCGCCACCTGGGACCTTAGGTGGAGCTCCCTATGGGGCCACGAAACGTGTGAGGGGTGTGCCAAAATGGGGCGGCGGCGCCATGCGAGTTTCGCAACTGGGACCTCAGGTGGAGCTCCCTATGGGGCCACGAAACGTGTGAGGGGTGTGCCAAAATGGGGCGGCGGCGCCATGCGAGTTCCGCCACTGGGACCTTAGGTGGAGCTCCCTATGGGGCCACGAAACGTGTGAGGGGTGTGCCAAAATGGGGCGGCGGCGCCATGCGAGTTCCGCGACTGGGACCTTAGGTGGAGCTCCCTATGGGGCCACGAAGCGTGTGAGGGGTGTGCCGAAACAGAGACATGCGGAGAGCAAAAGCCAGGAAGGGGGAGGAGGGAGGAGGGGGAGGAGGAAGGAAGGAAGGAGACGCGGGGCACCGTCTCTTCAAAACGAGGACCCAACACCACAGGATGGTTGGGAACAAATTGTAAACGGGCTTCCACCTGCGGGGCCCTCCCTGGTTAGATTCACTCCTTTAAGACTTGGAACTCGATTGAAAGGAATGGATGGAGCCGGGATTGGGCGATCCTGCTCAGGGCGTCCTCAGGATCTGGTTGGTCTGGCGCCTGGTTTGGCCTGGTTTAGGCCCGGTTCTGCCTGAGACGTCCTTACAAATTGCCTGGTTTGGCCACTGGTTTGGGCCCGGCTCTGCCTGAGACGTCCTCACGAATTACCTGGCTTGGTCCTAATTTGAGCTGGTTTAGGCCCGATTCCGCTTCAGACGTCCTCACAAGTTGCCTGGTGTGGCCCTTGGTTTGGTATGGTTTGGGTCCCGTTCCGCTTTAAGGTGTCCTCACAACTTGTGGTGGTCATTCGAAGTGGCATACTGCGCAAGACAAATAATCGCAATTCGGCCGAACCACGATTCTCCGACACTGAATGGATAATCACCACATGTAGTGGTGTGTACAGCCCCCCCAAAAGGCACTGACTGTGCGCAATGAGTGCCCATGGTTGTCCACATATAGCACGACTGCGCTACAAAACGACAGGCGGAATGGGTGTGGACATTCCCAACACACTGGGTCGGCATGGGCGCGTGGCGGCGTTCGAAGAAAACCTCTCCGAACTGTAGAATCCGCAAGAGTGCACAATCAAAACCAACCAAGATCACGGGTATAAGGATGCAGCGCGCCTGGAACGCGCAAAGATGTCAGGGCGCCCTGGGGCAGAAGCGGCAACAAGTATGTAAGTGGTGCCCAGAACCGAGGGATGCTGGGGTGCCTTGCTCCAAAGACTCGTCCTCGACGCTGGTTTTGACCGCAGTAGGTCCTGCCCGTACACCTCCACGCCGGTGTGGAAAGCTCCGGTGCCGAGGGCGCGGAAGATGCAATTGACGTTGCGCACCAGGGCGTGCCCCACCACGTCGTAGATGTGGAGGGTGACCTTCGACTTCGTTGGGCCGCCGTCGCTGTCCCACCGACGCGCCCCGGCTGGTGTGGCTCCACGGATTCCCCCCGGCATTGGTCCTCAAATTGGAGGCCTGAGCGAAAAACGGTTTGAGCCCAAACGGCTATGATTTCCAAGGGAGGGGGTACATTGGAGAAAGGAAAGGATGAGGAGGATGAGAACGACCTTGGCGACGGCGGCAGTGACGACGGCGACGACGGTGGAGAGGAAAACAATAGGGGCACGATGGTGACGAGGAAAGGGAAGAGGAGGAGGATGAAGGAAGGATTAAGACGTGGTGATGAAAGGGATGTTAATGCGGCTCATGATTGTTCCCCAAACAATGCTTGCTCTGAGGGGTCCTTCCTTGCGTCCCTAACAAGTTGAATGGGTCCGTCGAGGTTTAGCCGCGTCGCCGCCCGTTGCCGCATCGTTGCCGCCTCATTGCCGTCCACTTCGGGGATCCGTCGAGGTTTCGCCGCGTCGCCGCCCGTTGCTGCCTCGCTGCCGCCTCGTTGCCGCCCTTTCGGGAGGACCGTCGAGATTTCGCCACGTCCGTCGCGATTCCAGCGGGTCGCTACCCGTTGTCGCCTCGTTGCCGCCTCGTTGCCGTCCACGTCGGGGATCCGTCGAGGTTTCGCAGCGCCGCCGCTCGTTACCGCCTCGTTCACCTTGTTAGAGGAAGTCCTCCCCGGTGGTATGGGCGGGAGGGGTCACAACGGGTCAGAGCGCCAATGCTGGGGCCAAGAGGGGATCAGGCTGCTCACGATCGGCTCTCAACTCGCGCAAGATCTGGAGAAGGAGGCGTCCAAGAGGCCCCTTAGACGGCCCAGGAAGTTCCCAAGAGGGGTTCAAGGCAGCTTAGGAGGCTTCCAAGAGCCTCCCAAGACTGCCGAAGCTACCTGTAAGACGTCAGGACGCATCCAAGGTGCTACCAAGAGGTTCCCGCCAGAGGCTCTGAGAAGCTCCGAATACCGCAAAAGAGGCCTCTGGGACGGTCAATGAGGGCTCCAAGAGGCTGGCGAGGGCTGCGAGAAATGCGATGCTCGGGGCTCCCTCAAGAAGGAGACCACAATGCTTTAGCATGGCACATGTTTTGTCCGAGCTCCTCCCGTTCTTCTTACTTCGGTCCTGCTGATCTACGCAATCACACCGGACCATGTCGTACCATTGTCAGAAAGCCATCCCGCGTGAACGACTGCCACGACACGCTCGCAAAACGTATGCCGTTATAGAACGCCGCGCTAGCCAAGCCAATCCAGATTATAAGATCGGGAGGAGGGGGGATCGTGAGGAGGAGGAGTATTCACAATCCTTTTCCTCGCCGACTTGGCACGCCCACATGTCCGCAATAAGACGGAATCAAGTCTCGCATCAAGCGAGGCCGACAATTGGCACTATGCCCGAGAACACCCGACTCGAAGCTACGCAGTCAGACGGGACCAGACCGCACCAGGCGGACGAGGCGCGGTAGAACTTACGCTGTCCGCCGTCGGGGACGCCTGCCCCAGGGCGGCTGGAACGTCTGTGCCCCGACGTGCCACCGTGGCGGTATAACATTTCCTTGCCGTCGCTCGGACGTCCATTTCCCGTGCATGCTTCGGTCTCGTGCGTGCCTTGTTTGCTCGATGGTCCAGGATGGTCCTCGATGGTTCTCGCCGAGAAAAACATGCACACGCCCGAGCGATGCCGAGTTTCCATCCGCTCCGGGCCAGGCTTCCATGCATTCGGAACAGAGTCTGCGATGACATTCTTCGTCCACGGATGGAGACCCCGCGGCATTCCCGCGCGACGCACCCACATCCCGACACAGGCACAGATCTGGAGCGACGACACGGCCCGGAAGCAATCGACGACCAGTCTGGTCGGCCCCTGATCCGAAGTCGAAACCCGAACATGCCCAGGTGATGACCTCTCTTGGGAAGAGGGGCTAACTTTCGCTTCCGCCCGCCTTCCGCCAAGCTCCGCCAAAGTCGATGCGCCATCCGCTCCCAAACATGCTGGCGTCGGGGGAAAATGGTCTCGGAACATCTGGATCGTTTTCGGTCTCCGGGAGGCCCTTGCAGGACCCTGGGACCTTCCAAAAACGACTCAGGGTGAACAAAACGGCCCAGGGGAAGGGGTCGGGGTGTCCTGGGTCCCCGCATCGATAACGTCTAGGCATCGGATCTGATGCCCCCTGCGGCACGATCCATGGGCACCGCTCGGGGGCCGCTGCTCTCCCGCCTGTCCCTCCTGGCCGGGGAAGCCAGAAGGTACCGATACCGTTACTCCCCAGACCTCTCCCGGGGTGCTGTCTGACCAGAATTTCGAGGCGAATCCAACGGTGGCGACGAGGACCTCCGAGGCGGCCCAGAAAGGGGAAAAGCGGGCGAAGGGCAGAGGTATGGGTACCTTGACTTCCTCCGACTGGCGTTGCGCGTTGCCCCTGACTGCCGGTCCTGGCAGCAACTGGCGCTGCAGCCGCTGGCGCTGGTGCTGGGGCACCCTTGGTGGCCGCTCGGCTGCAGCCCTGGCTGGCTGGGCGGCCCATGCTTGCGGCGCGGGGTGTCCTGCCCGCCGGGGGGAAGGTCAGGGGAAGAGGAGGAGAGGAGGGGGGGAGGCAAGATCCAGGAGAGGAGAGAGAGAGGGAGAGGAGAGGGGGAGGGGAGAGGTGAGGGGGAGGGAGGGGAGGTGATGGGGGAGAGGAGAGGACAGGTGCGCTCGGGCCATATCTGGCATCCTGTCCCTCCTTCCCATCCCTTTCCGTTGCGCTGATGTGTCCTCCATCCGCGGACGCGTGTTATGGCTGACCTGGAACTCCAAAGAAGACCCCTATCATTTTATGCGCAATCGGAAAAGGGTAGTTGCGTGCACAAGAGGAGTGGGATGAGGTGGCGGGTGAGCAGGAGGACGAGCATGAGGAACAGGCGGAGGATGAGGAAGGACGAAGACGATGACGAACAGCATCAGCAGGAACTGGAGTGAAGGAGTGGGAGGAGCAGGAGGACCAGGGGAATGAGGAGGGGAAATGAAGGGGGCGGCAAGGATGAAAAAGGACTCGGCGCCAGAAAGGTGGCCCGGGCTGGGACGAGATCGTCATTCTGAACGACGGGAGAAAAACGCCAATCTGAAAATGGGGCATACACTGCAGCGGAAACACCATTTCGAAACACCGAAAACAATCGCATTTCAAAACCACACATGAAAACACTTCGGCCCAATCCAATGTTTGACAACAAATGAAGCAAACAACTATGTGCGGATTGGGGCCGGAGATCTTCCAGACAGTCTTCGGGGAGAGAGGAAAGTAGATTTCGGATGTCATATGGTGTAACTGTAGAGGAGACGAGGAGGAGGAGGAGGAGAAGGAGGAGGAGGAGGAGGAGGAGGAGGAGAAGGAGAGGAGGAGATGAGGAAGAGGCGGAGGAGGAAGAGGAGGAGAAGGGGACAGGAGAGAAGGAGAAGGATGATGAGGAGGAGAATAGGGCGAGGAGATGACGAGAGGGAAACATATAGTCTGATGATGCAGGGCCGAGGCCAACTGGACCCCGTGTTTAGGGCCAAGAAGGCCCCTGTCGATGATTTGGCCTCGGCCCTGTGGCTGCGCTGGCTGCCTCCTCACGTCCTGGACTCAGCATGCAAGTGGGCGAATGATCACGTGCGAGCCTGGGCGGATATCGAACACCCTGCTGGCGCTCTTGCTTTAACGCTTGCTCCAATCGGCTGGACGCTGTAAGATTTTCCCGTGGAGGTCGCACACGGGCGACCTCATCAATTTTGCAAGCTTGTGGGTGTGAATGTGGATGTGAACGTGCTGGACTGGCAGTGGTCTCGGGTCTCCAGCATTTTCGCGGTGGGTGCAACTTAGACCTCCTGCAGCGCCTCAACTATCGTGGTAGACCCCCTCGAGCCCTGGTTGACGTGTACACCACATTCTGGGTGCCGGGGAGAGCCCACCGCAGGAGCGTGATCGTCGACGGGCAGTGGCCCGTGGCTCGCGAGCTCGCTGCTGGCAGTGCCATCTCTGCACTCTGGGCATGGTATCCTGGGGGATCCGATGTGTACGTAGATTTATTAGCCCACGATGCGTACAGGCCATCTTTAACCGTTGCGGGTTAGGCCATCTTCTCTCTTCGCGAACCCCTCGCTTAGCTGAACGACGTGTTAACGAATGTGTCACTGGAGTCCTTGTTGACCCAGCAGCTGACATAGACGGTGCGGGGCTCACAGCTGTCATTGTTGTGCTCAATTTCGGACGCCCACCGCTGCACATTTGCTCGGGCTCTGACTTTGTGATCCTTGGGGAGCGGGGTGAGGCTGGGATCACACACCCTAAGGCGGCCTGGGGCCACCTGTGAGTATTGTTCTGTAGGCTTCTCTCGGATTTGGGAGGGCTCGGAGACTATGGATTGCGTGTGTCTGAAGTCAAGGCCCATGCAATCGAGGCTGAGGTCCTCCGCCGAGGCATGAGAGCAATCGACCGCGACGGCAACAGTTTCGCGGACGAGGCAGCCAAGGAAATGCGCCGTCCGCGCGCCCGTCGCCATTTGCGATCGCTTCGGCCCAGGTGATCCGTTCGTTTTGCAAGTGTTGCTTGTTGGGTCGGCCAGGCGGGTGCTGAAACGTGCCGTCACCGCTGCAAGGCCCCGCGTCATTTCTCGCGAGCGGACCCACGGGCTTCTCGAGGTCACTCTGGAGTCAGGGGTGCGCGTGCCTTCGTGTCCTCAAGTTCTTTGTGAGGTATGCGGCATGCGGATGCAATGCCTCCAATCGTTTGCTCGCCCCCTTCGCGTCGCCCTGTCGAGGTCGGGCCACTGAACATGGCACGCGACGCCTCAACCAACCTGCCCTCGGTTTTACAGTAGGCTTCCGCAAGCAGGCCACTGCATCTATATACCAAGGTAATCGAGATGAACCTTGTGTGAGTACGCTTCCGTCCGTTCATTGGTGACCATGTTCTTTGATTCAGAAGCTTTTGGGGGGATGGAGGGAGGAGGAGCGGGAAGACCAGGGGAACGGATCTTTTTGCGGCGGACCGTTGCCGCTCAAGCTTTCCAAGATCGTGTAAGCACATCGTGGTATCGGCAACCCTCCCCCAGTCAAGACGATGCTTCTGGGGAGGCTCTCCTTGCCTGAACCTCCCCAGTGCTTCACGATTCAATGCTGGGAGGACCGCCGCGCTATGCAGGAGCGTCTTGGCGCTCCATGCGCGCGTCGCTCGGCTGAGACTCGGCCGCCGCCAGCAATGGCCGCCGTCGCCTCGGCAGCGCCAAGCGTCACCCCCGCGGCGCTCGCCGCGGCGCTGCACGCGGCGACCCCCGCAGGGCCCCCACGGGCGACGGCCTCGGCCGCGGCGACGCGCGCCGCCGACAAACGCTCGGCCTCCTTCTCCAGCTCCGCTGCGGTCGGCCACACGCAGGAGGGACCCTGGGCACGAGTGACCTCTGCTGCGCGGCTTCTGGGGAGCTGCGAGGGGGCGAGAACCCAAGCGCGCAAGACGGCACTATGGCACCGCAGTCGGCGATCGGGAAATCCCAATGGGCCAGCACCGAGGGTCACTCCGGTGAGATGACGCTCTGACGTGTAGCCGATACGGACGGCACGCCAGACTCTCCCGCTGAAGGACAGCAAGTCACCACCTCTGCGCGCAAGCTGCGGCTGCTCGGCACGTGGCCTTCTAGCGCCACTGCCCCTGGACCCCGCGGAGCTGCCGCGGAGCGGCCTTCAGCACGTCGATGTCAGCAGCCTCGGCGTGGAGGGCAACATTCTGGCGCAGTGCAGCCACCTGGTCTGGCCGCCTGCTAGCCAACAAAGCCTCTGAAGCGGGAGGGACCGCGAACACGCGCTGGGCCAGCTCCATGTCGCCGGAGAGTAGCTCGAGAGAGTTCCAGAGAACGTCATGCTGCTGCTTGAGGGCGCTCAACTGCTGAACGCGACGATGCACAAGGCTGTCCGCGGACTCCCGTGCACGCGCCCGCCTAGCACTCCGACCATCAGCAGCAACATGTGGGTGTGAGACACCAGGCCCTCCCCTAGACATGATCTCAACCGCGAGCCAGACCTGCCGCACCAAGCGAGGGAGGAAACATCCCGGCCAGGCTTGAGCTCTGGAAACCAACAGCGCTAGGAGGACGGCGCGACCCTGGCTGGGGTGGCCTCGGCAAGAGCCCTGGTGGCAGCACCGCGTGCCAGCGCTGTTGCCTCAAAGACTGCACGCCCAGGATCCTCAACGGCCTCAAGTTGAGCACCACCTCTTTCTGGGGCGCCGGACGAAGCTGCCGGCGCCGACGGGCGCACCGTCTGAGCGTCGTCGTTGCTCTGCTCGCGTTTCTTCTTTCGGTCGCCAATCCTGCTGGCGTGCTCATCCTTGTGCCCCTTCGCCTTGTCTGCGATCCCAGCCAGGGACTCGGGAGTGAGCTTGGAGGCGTCATCCAACATGTCGGCCTTGAACTTTGAGCGGGGAACTCGCGTCCACTGATGTCCAAGTCCAGGGGAGAGGAGGAGAGGAGAGGAGGAGGGAGGGGAAGAGAGGTGAGCCGAAACGGGCAGACTGGCTCACCCTGTGGGGGGAGGGGGGACCTCCCGCCTGAGTAAGCGACACACACACACACACGCGCATCGCTGATGCTTCGGTGGAGCTATCTATCCCCGCCCCCGACTACAACTGCCATATGCCCCGCCCGCAAGCCAAACTACCACCTACATCGCCTCATCCCTGCATTAAAACTAACAACCGAAGACCCTCACCCATGGCAAAGGCCGACCCATCCCCCACCCACGGACAAAAACTGCCACCAAAACCTATAACTGAAGCTTCGTCACCTTCAGCTAGATCTTCAGACGAATCCGGCTAAAATTGCAAACCGAACATCCCCGACCGGAAGCTGCCAGAGCCCCCACCCGCGGACAAGCCTGCACCCCAAACGTCCCCACTGCTCGGCGAAACCTGCCAACCATTGAGCCCCACCCCTGGTCCCAGACTTCCAGCGTTATGATTTTTTCATGACGTCGACCCCCAAAGGTCTCGACCCATTCCCCGACACCAGTTTTTCGTCCTGAGTCGTTTTTTGACGGTCCCGAGGCCCGGCGAGAGCCCCTGGAGGCCGAAAACAACGAACAACCTTCCGTCGTGATTTTCTCATGACTCGAGGGGGTCTGTGGTAAGTACTGCCTCATCTCACCCAGATAAGCCTGCACCTGTAATACCATAGCCCCAGCAGGTGCGAATCGGAGTGCGGGGCTGGCATGGGCTCGGCGCGGCGCGCTGCGGTTTGGACGACTCTTTTTTTTTGAATCCCATATAACACCCCCATACCAATCACGGCAGGCACCGAATGTGTATCTTAGATCTGTTCGATTAACCAGCCACCGGGAATCAAAAGCCGCCGCAGGCGCAGAACCTTTGCTCAGTCCGAGGACCCCCCTCATTACGAAATGCAGCTCACCAAAACTAACATAACACCCTCATCACACGGTGAAGAAGCAGTGCCACCATAGATCCTCAATATCCTCTTCCTCCGACTAGCATTGCCGCATCCCCAACGGGTAACACTGCAACCGAGATATCTCAACCCTAGACAGACTAAAGCCGCCAACAACCTACAGTCTCACGACAATCTGTCGCTGCCATCGAAAGGCCGAGGCCAAGCAGCCAGTGACCAGTCAACCAAACTCCTGGAAACAACAAAGAACTGTCTCTTCTCATCCGATATGCCTAATTCCCCCCTCCTGCTTCTCCTCCTCTCTATGCATTTCCTGCTTTCGTTTCTTCGTGCTGCTTGCCATCCTCGCTGTCACCCTGTTTGCCGTCGCCCTCCTCTGCA